TAGGCTCACTCCAGACCATTGGAATTCCAAAAGACAGACTTTCTTCTTACCTTTAGTCCATTGTCTCAACACTTCGACACAAAAGGTGCAAACTTTGTGCGATTTGTCTTGGTCCCTAAGTTTTATTCCAAAATACACGTAATACGCTTTTTTGACGAAATCTGTAATGTTTTGCCTTTGTTTCTGTACAACAAATTTACCACAAATATAACAGAATATGTTTGGGTCATTCACACAACCTCTTGTTGCCATAGCGACGATTAAATAACATTGAAAGGAAAAAATAATGTCAAAGTACACGCACAAACAAATATTATCCAGAAATGACACGTCATGCGGCCTGTTACCGTTTATATACCAGCGGTGTGTTTCTCGTGAGTTATAGAACGATCGACAAGACTCTCACGTCGCGATTTGTCTAAAGAAATCTATAGCCAACATTTTAAGCATTACAAAATGTGACCCGATTTCAATTAAAATGATTCATTTATGCAAAAGTACTTATGACGTTTTGGGAAAAATCTGTAGGTGATGGAGAAAAATGGATATCATCTTCGGATGCAGCGTACAGGAATTACTGTAGAACATGTTTGTTTGTTTGTAATTAAGCACAAAGCTACACAATAGGCTATCTGTGCTCTGCCCACCAGGGGTATCGAAACCCGGATTCTAGCATTGTAAGAAGTCAATAAAACCATCGCAGGCCTGTGTAATTATGGAAACGCACAGGTACACACACAGGAACCACAAACACATTGTAAACTGTTTTATTACTGATATATTTTGTTCACTATTCTGTATATACTGTTCTTTTTTTTTTTTACAAATAAAAGGAGAACATAAAATAGGTATCGCGGGTATCATAAAGATAAATAACATACCCTGAATTACTTAACATCACTTTTGAAAAATTTAGGATTTTTACCACGACAGCTTCAGTTTCATGAAATCTTCTTCAGAGTTTCCACACATCGTCTATTGAAACACGAAATTTAGCCTCAGTCTGTCGTATCGAGTAGTTTTCACCAGTCACAGTTCTGATTTCTACACATTTGTCATATGATATTTCTATTTCGGGTGCCATGAGTGCATTCACCACACCACTGCTGGGAATAGTATAATTGCCTGTACTTTTACAGGTATTTTGCTGGTGTTTCACAGTCTGATTAGTTAGATGACAATCAATCATAATGTAAGCTGCATTCGTTTTATGCACCGTTTTCATAATTATTCATAAAACTGAATGTTTAAACCAACTTATCAGACAATTAGGCCTACAACAAAAGCCTCGTACATAAACAACACACACACAAATCAACTATGATACAAATTGCGATGTAGGAAGATAAAATGTACCTTATTAAAAGGAGGTATTTGTTTGTTTATAATTAAGCATAAAGCTACACAATGGGCTATCTGTGCTCTGCCCAACACGGGTATCGAAACCCGGATTCTAGCGTTGTAAGTCCGCAGACATACCACTGTGCCACTGGGGGCTATAAGGAGGTATTTAAGAATTTAGAGTCAATACAGTAGTAAGGATTGGTTTAACCTATTTTTTTACGTAAGCTTCACAAGGATTGGTTTAACCTATTTTTTTTACGTAAGCTTCACATATAGAAGAAAGAAAAATAAATTGTAAGAAGATACGAATTATCAAGATTACAATGTACTACTTTTAAAACTACCAATCACTTTACGCAGCTATTCGTGAGAAGACAACAGCTCTTAATGAAACAAAGCAAAAATAAAACATATTACGATTAGATTACTGGGAGTGATAGGTAAATTCAACTCCTGAATTCCAACCTCTATAATAGTCAATTACCTATGCGAATGGCATAATGACCAGGTGTAAAATTACGACAAAAAAAAAAAAAAGGATTTTTTCCTTCCAAGTTCCCAATAAAGAACATTACCTAATATCCACTCAAATCAATATGATATTCCAGTGGACACTCAGTTGCTTGGTTGAATTTAAATACCATCCAACACACACGTGCTAGATACAATAGATGACTTTGACACATGATTTCCACCAAAACGAGCATGGTGTAATTGAAGTGAGCTATATTACGAATAAAAAACAAACAAATACATTTGTATTTTTTATTGTAACACGTTTGACAGTTTCGTATTGTTTGTTTCTTTGTTGTTAAGCACAAAGCTACATAATAGGCTATCTGTGCTTTGCCTATCGCGGATATCGAAATCCGATTTTTAGCGTTATAAGCCCTCAGACATGCCAGTGAGCCGTTGCGGTGGGGCAGTTTGTATAAACATTTACTAATATTAATATTATTGGAATTGAGTAACATTTTATAAGATATGTCCAATTAAATATTTCAAAATTAAATAGATTAACTATGAAATTAATCCCCTTTCAGTTGTTAAACTTAGTATACTTCTTGTGTTTAAACGGATAAACAATCTGATGAACGTTTAGCGTTTGGCAGCCATTTCAATTTTTAGTGCGTGAAGTCGATATCAAACGGAAGTGACGTTTAATGCAGCGCGTAGCTATGGCTACCTTTACTAATCGCTTGTATTCACTAGCCTTGCAGGGCAAATAACGCATATGCACGCATTTCACCAATCGTGAAGCTAACGAAGTAAATGTTGAGCAAGGCACTGGTATATTTGAAAAAAAAAAAAAAAATATATATATATATATATATATATATATATATA